ACTTCAACTCCCAGAATTCCCCAGCCAGCATGGGAGTTGAAGTCCACTCATCTTAAAGTGGACAAGTTTGGACAACACTGGTTTATGGTGATGATGTTCATGTGAGTACCATTCATCACTGGGTCCAAAAATGTAAAATGGTGAACCAGGAAAATTGGATGACCTTTGACAGCAGCCGACAGGTTTTGCAAAGAATGGTTGATGAACTGATTTAGACAACTGGAGGATCACTCAAGGGGAAATTGTCATGCTTGGCATTTCACAGGAAGACGTGGGTCACATTACTGATATTCTTCAGTATCAGAAAGTTTGTGCTAGTTAGGTTGTTGAATGCTGATGGCAAAGATGACAGCTCTAGGAGTTCAAATTTGCCAGCTGTTGGTGTTGCACTATGAGAATGAAGGTGAGGAATTTCTTCCCAGCATCGGCACCCGTTGAAACATCAGCTTATTATTAACACTCAAAACTTTGAAACAACTTTTAAATACAGTTTGGAAGCACAAGAAAGAAATGTTGCTGCAACATGACAAAGTAGGCCTCACAGCTCCTGAGCCGTCCAAGAGGCAACACTGAAAAGTTGGATCTCACCATCTTACCCCATCAGCCATGTGGTCCTGACTCGGTGCCAATCCACTTTTTTTTCCAGAATTAAAGGAATACCTTCAAGGATATCTGTAGGAAGTGAAGAGGTGGAAAGAACTCTCAGGATCTGAATTTAGAGGCTAAGTGTGGAATTCTTTTGTAATTGCTTTTAGAAGTATGTCTATTGTGGGCAGAAGTGTGTAACATGGTGGTGACTGCTTATGTGTTCGTGAAGTCATTTCTGTCAACACAGTTCAAAGAATATTCAAATTGTTTTGAATGTAAATTTTGCTGCTGTAAATATTTGATATGATTCAGCTGTGGGATTTCTAGGATATAACAAAAGTGAATCCATAACCATCTGTTCCAACTGTATAAAACGACAGTTTCTAAGTCTCTTTTTTGCTGAAGCAAAAGCAATAATGGATCCTTTAATAAATGTCTTAAATGCATCCTATCATGTTAGAGTGTGTGTTGAACCATGATTAATTTTAAAAAAGGAACAATTTTCCTTCTTAATATATTCCACAAAAAGAGTGTCTTTACAGAGAGAAATAATTCAAGAGCCACCTGGAATTAGCTCATTTATAATGATTGATTTTCCAAGTTAAAGTCACAGGAGCGTGATTTGAAATTGCAATAGGATCTATAGAAGAGCCCATAACTTGATCCACCAAAACAGAGGAAATAAAAAAATAATCTAATCTAAAACAGTTTTCAGGAGCATGTGAAAAAGAATATGTTCCATGTTTTCAACTTAAAGAATGCCAAATATCTATTAACAATATATATGCTTACAGTACCTTCCAGTTTTGAGAAAAAGAATCGTTTGGAGTGCTTCTGTCTAATTGAAAATCTTGAGTTTGATTGAATATGTATAGTCTGCAGACTATAGTTTTGTGAAGCAACTACTTTATGAAATATTTCAAGAAGGTTCTTACAAGGACAATAAAAATAAGATAGTGAGATTAGCTTTCTTAACTCTAAAAAAAGTAAAACATCTTTCACTCTCAATGTT